CACAAGAGCGCGACCAAATTTAATCCCATTTTGCGACGTGCGAGATCTTAAACAATTTTTTGATAAAATTACAGCTATTTATAAACAGATACATAAGTATCAAAGCGATGCCTTATTAAAAAGTAATTTAAGATTACGAATGCCACAAGATGGAGCTAAAAGCTTGAGAGCTGACCGCTCTCTTCATTTGTGGGAAATTTACTTCCGTGAAATAAAGTTTATTTCTGTGAATAAACTTTATGTCCCACAAAAAAATGCTCTAGTATTTTTTCTCAGTATAGAGAGATGAAAAGAGAGAAAGAGAGACACTTTCATTCGAGAGTTTTATATTCAATTTCGCGAGTGAGATGCACACATTTCATTTGCTGGTGTATTTCTACGTGAAATACGCCTCATTCGTATGAACGCTCATATCCGGCGTTCGTCGGAGAAGATTTTCACGTCGACCGGATAGAAAGGAGCTCCGCGAGACTCTTGGAAATCGCGAACGTTATGAACGCGCTCTCGTCACGCGAAATTCGACGGTCCCGCGAGAGAGTCTCCTCGGTATCCGCCGGCTTCAGCAACGATCCGTGGAGTCGCGACAACTCCAGCCGCGTCGATCTCATCGAAGGCGTCGCTCGACTAACTGGCTGAATTGACTATGAGTCATATGACGCTGACGAGATGGCTCGTGAACCTTCACATGCACCGCGCGCATTCCACGTATTCATTTGGCTCGAGCAGGCGTGACGAATCACAGTCGCGCTTGCTTAAAACATGATCATAAGATCATGATCATTCGACGTGACATCTGGTGCGACGTTGACCGTGGCGAAAAACTAGAGCATGATGTATCGATCACGCGCGCTCGACGGCGAGAGGATCTCGCATCTCCACGTCGACGTCTCTCTCGCGGAGAAAAGGACGAGCTCTCTCTCTCTCTCGCCATCGATCATAAAACATGCAAGTTTCGCGTGTCGTCCTTAAGATACGGCGCGAAAATAAAATCGAAGCGAGCGTAGGACTGGCCGTAGCTATACTTGTAACCGAGAAATAACGAACGTCTCATGAAATATTGATACGAGCGCACGACGTGAGATATACGGACGAAAGACGAGGGAGAGGCCCCTCCCCCTCCGCACGTTTCGGGAACCAAATGCATAATGAAGCTCGCGTACGGATATGGGGGAAGAGGGGGAGGGGGAGGTGTCTTTGGAGAACGAGACGAGCGCCAGGCGAGACAAATTCCCGCGATAAAGTCGTCCTTTCACATGCGACCGCTGCAATCGCTCTCTTTGAATTGAGGTAAAAAAGTACCATTTCGCGTGTCTAATTCTGAACATTCTTATTGTTTTGATCTTTAAATACGAATATTTAAACTTTTAACATATATTTTAGAACATATTTTAGAATGTATGTATATATTCGATACTATATATGTGAGTTTAAAATATTTATATTTAAAACTAAGACACAGCAAGAATGTTCAGGTATAATCCGGGCATTGATACTTTTGGTATCAAACATGGTAAATTTAATACAAGAATGTGACAAAATTGTCGTGGCAACAAATCCGCAATTAACCCTTTAAGGCCCAGTGTACGCAATTGTGTACATTCACTTTGGATCTTCCCCAAATTTTGTATACATTGGCAAAGTAATGACGACTCGGTCGATGTAATATTATCGATATATCGAGATAAAGCTATATTTTTCGTCCCAATTCTCATGAAAGAAGCGCCGATCATGGCGCTTTGCTGCTCATTTTATCATGGTTATGAGATATTTATTAAAATGCTTGCAGCTGGGACACACGCGTGTAAACGTGTGAATGTGCACAATTATGTGCATTCAGAAAATCGTGCTTCACGACGGTCAAAATTCCACTCGGAGCACACTCGGAAACGTCCTCACTATTCTATGACTTATTCTGTGAAATTTGATTCGAACGGGATCGATGCTTGGGCCATAAAGGATCAATCCATTATTTTCAATTCAAAGAGAGAAAATTTAAAGGCTCTGAGGGAGCCGAAGGGTTCATTAATTTACGTTTTACAGGCGCTCGCGTCATCGATCCGCAGACGGTGCGCAAGAAAACGTTACACGTGAAACGAAAGCCGCGACTCATTGGCCGACATCGCGAATTAGCGTGAGTCGCCGGGGGTCTGGTGAACCAAAGAAAAAAAAAATGACTCTTAATCAACTGAAAATCCGACATAATTAGAAAGTGAAACACACACACGTGACCGGAAGACCGTAAAAACACGTCGCTTCGCAGAGCATGAAGATGGTAATCGCGCAGGAGCGCGTGTTTTGGAGTCACATTTCTCAGACGGTTTTTACGATCCTCCCGCTGAATTATTTGTGCGATCCTCGTCTCCCGCCGTCTCTCTGCATCGCTCTCTCTCTTTCTCTCGGTTTCTCTCTCTCTCTTTCTCTCTCTCTCTCTCTCTCTCTTTCTCGTCTTCGCTCCCGCGAAAAGAGCTTTGTGAGAGAACGGACAAAGAGAGGGAGCGAGACTACGTCAAAACTATGAACTAGTCGAAGCCCAAAAGCTTACCTGACTTCTGAGTTTCGTGATGTTCTGACCGCCCTTGCCGATTATCGAACCAGCTACCTGCAACAAAAAAGTGTAACGGAACGTCAGATAACGACAAACGACGAGGATACGTGCGTAATTGTTCGTAACGAGCAATTATTTCTACAGTTTCCCGTGGATGAGCTGGAGGTGGAGATCGTGAATCAAGAGAGGAGACGAGTGACAGTGAGCGATGCTCACAACCGTTTGGCACCAGAACAATCTGCGGGATAATGAATCTCGCACGCTACATCATCCTCAGCGTATCTCCGCGATCTTCGCAGCATTAACCGAGTAAGCGTGTCGCCGGCGGGCCGAGCGCGTGACAAATATTTATTAAATGAAAAATCTGCAAGTGAAATAATCCGCCCCGAGGTGTGCCGAGGACGGAAATTCCGCTCTCCCGTCACGAGTCGCGGCAACACAGCACACCGCTTTCTCCAAGAGTCGTCCGCGATAAAAAAATCTTTTTCGCCGTCGACGCTCAGTTAGTTGGCCGGGATTTTAATTTCGCCGCGCCCGCCATGCTTCCGGCATGTGTCGCGAAGACAGGCGCGACTGTTTGCGCGAGAAACGGTCGCGATTTACGCCCAATCTACAATAGATGGAATAAGGAGTAGGAGTAAGACGAAATGGAAATAATTTATTTCGCTTAGGCCCGATCTACAATAAAGTTTGTCCGTCTACGTCACATGGAGTAAGCCTGAATTAAGTAGCTGGAGTAAGGAGCTGGAGTAAACGAAATAAATTACTTCCATTTCGTCTTAGTCCTACTTCTACTCCTTACTCCATCTATTGTAGGTGTGGGCCTTAATGCGCGCAGAATGCGATTCGTAAGCACGCCATACGAAGGGCGTTGAATTCTTCAAGATTCGCGACAATGCGCGGCCCGAAACGACGGCGCTTCTTTAACGACGGACGATTCATCACGTTCCGACAGCTAATTAAATAAGCCCTGGCAATTAACACTTTCTCCTACGCGAGAGGAGGCGCGTCAGGGACACGCTCTGATGCGCGTCAGCAACGGCGCATTATGCAGCAATGCGGCGGCTATGCGGTCATTTTCATCCCGTTCGCGTCCGCGTGTGTCGCTCGAAAAAATTGCGAACGAAAGTAAAAGACCGCGAGAAGACCGCGAGAATCCGCGACGGACGCTCAAATCCCCGTTTCGAAAGTTGCAAAGTGTTATTCCTTGCAATCCCATATTTCACATAAGCGAAAACTCTCAGTGAAAGAATATCCCTCCTCTGATAAAGTGAGCCATTAATCTGAAATCTACCAGATGTTATTCGAACCCGGAGAGTGTTCTTCAGTTATAATTTATAATAATTTTTATTACAAAATTTCCGCCATGTACCATCCAGAACCAAACGATTTCCGTCAGACGAGCGCAATCTTCTTCTTTCCTCCCGCACAGAGTCTCACGCACAGTTGTACGTGAGTAGCATACGCACGTATGTAGATCATATCGCAACAATGGCTGTGACCTCCGAGACTTTCAAAACGCTTCGAGACTCTTTCGACACGCTCGACACTCTCAAGATAGCCCAGATTATAGAGAATTTCTGGTTTACGGACACAACACGCGAAACGAGTCGAGGCTCCTCCATCATGAGATCCGAATGATCCAACGTGTCTACAACACAGCTGCTCGAGTCGAAACCTTGAGTTTTGCAACGCAATAGAAGCTCAGTTAATAAAGTAGGTTTAATTCTAATGGTACAATTTACTCCTACTTTGATTCTGACGATGTCCGAAATTTTTCATTTTTTTAGTGTCAAAATAGATTGTATCATAGGCTTCAGAGTACCAAAATAAGAATGGAATAATAAAGGTTGAAAATTGGGTAAAAAGTGGTCGACTTGGGTGGTCGCTGTCGGAGAGACACGCCCACATACAACATCCCCGATGGATTTTCTCAAAAATTGCACGACACTGCGGAGACGCAATCCCGCCTCGAGCGGGCACTATCCCCAATGCGATCGTCCCTGACACACCATGCGCCGCCAACGACGGCACGCGATGATATCGTCGATTACGTAGCGAGAGATTCGATCGCGATCGAGCGCGACGAGGCGTTCGTGCTCGACCACCTGGATCGCAATAAGGCGTCCTCGCGGCGCCGATTAAATCGCGCCGGCACCACCTCTCGACGTGGGTGCACGCTGTTGTTGCCCATTACGAAATTAACAAACGGGCGCGATCGTGCCAGGGCCGTCCGTAATGATGTCACGCGCGCCGACCTTGGCGGAGTCGCGCGCACCCTCGGCGAGCTGGCGAATTCGCGAGCCCCTGCTGTCTCTCTAGAGTTCCTCCAGTCAGAGTTAGGACGAGGAACGATGGTTCCTGATTGTATCCTATCCGTCATTTTTACACTGAGAGAAAAATGTATGATATTTGGAACTATAATGGCATAGTAAAAATATTATAGTTAGGAATATAATTTTTATAGTAAATGTTACCATAATATTTGTAATATTTACAATATAAGTATGGTATAACTGACCCGTGTAAAATTTTTACCAAGAATTATAATTATTTGAAATAAAAAATATGGTAAGGTGGCAAATATTGAATGGTAAGAGAAATTAACTATTTTATATAGTCAATACAATTGGAATATTTGGCAAATATAGGTACATGTAACTATGTTCCCAAAAGGTGCTTTACCATATATATATATAGAGTAATAAGATGGTGACTATAAATCTGTGTTCATTCTACTATATCTTCATGAACATCTTCATCTTCATCTTCATCTTTAGATGAACTATAAATATATGTTTGAGGCCAAAACGAACTATAAAATATAGTGAGATTATAGTTATTCCAACTATTTTTTTCTCTCAGTGTACACGGAAAAAACAATATGGTTGATCCATACAGAAATCTGATTGTGCCAACCAGATTCAATAGTAAAATACGAAACATTTATGTGTAACCAAAGAGCAATGGCTGAGTTACTTATGTTGCAGCAGTAATAATACACGGTTAATACAAACGCGGCTCATTACGAGGCAACTACAAATGTATACTTGTGTTCTGTTGTGTATATTTATACACTCAGTACCAGTTTTCACACATATACATCTCTAGCTGTGCGCGTAGTAAATTGCTTTTGTTTTCTAACATCGCTGCTTTGCAATATAGCATTGATTAATGCAACTATATCGATATTTAGCTTGTCTATGCAAAATGATCCCCTTACTAATTTCTGGTTGCCACAACCGGATCACGCGCAGCTTCATTGATGTAGTTGACACACCAAAGTAAGTAAGTCAAATCAACCATACACATAACTATCATACAAAAATATGTAGAATGATGCAGCTATTTGCTTACAACTAAATATTTTTTGTTAGGTGCACCACATCTCTTTTTTCCGTGTAGGGATGACGTAAGAGAGAGAGAGAGAGAGCGGAGGAACAACTCTAGTAGGAGTGAAACGGAAGTTCTAAGACTGATATGACTGAGAAGCGGCTTCTCCCTCACTTACTTCCTTCCTATAAATGGCGGACGGTTTCTTAACTCTCTGACTCGAGAAACTCTACTGAGCCCCCTCGTCTTGTTTAGGTATCACGACGGTGACTCGCGATAATATCAAGCGCGAAAGTGTAAACAGTAGCGACTTAATCATTTAACTCGCGCGACGCTCGCCGGATATCGTTTCACGGTGCGTTTGCTTTTTTCGAGCGCTCGCGTGTAGACGGGTGATGACGAGGTGCTTATCTGCGCTCCCACGTGACGATCGAGCATTCAATTCAATTAAGCTTATTAACGCTCGCGGCCGCGCGAGCAGTTTACGCGAATTACACCCTGCGGATACGATGAGAGCGAAGAACTTGGAGTTGCTTGAATAACTGGCACGTTCCAAAAGACAAACTGCACGTGGAAAAAGGTTTGAAAGAAGCAGCGTTCGACCATTGATCGATTAGAATCTTGTTTGACTAAAATAATCGACAAATCAATCGTACATATGTCTGGGTGATACATCCGAAGGGTTAATGCCCAACACTGAGCAGAAGCAGCTAAGATACGGCCGTGGTGGACGGGGCACGTCTCTTGGAAAACGGTCAGGCTCGAATTAATAATTATGCGAAGGCCGCGAACGAAATTCGCGAAACTGAGTCACCGCTGCCGTGAGTCAACAGCTGCCAGACAGGAAGCTTCGATATCCTCCGTCGCGGCTGAGAAAATTACTGCGAAACTGCGGACGAGAGAAGAAGTGGGTGCGCGATTAATTTGGAAATCCGGCACTTTGAAGGAAGCTCCGCGGTTTTCTCGACAAAATCACCGTCGGCGATTCCCCTGGTAAACACTGGTCGGACAAAGGAAGCGCGAAGCAGCACGAGTAGTGCTTCAACCGTTCCTTTCGGTATTCGCAATGCTACAATCAATCACCACCTTAGCGAAAGGAGGCACAGATAGACCTCGATCCGCGATATTACTTCTCTCTGCCGGTACCTTCGAAAGCAGGCAGTCAGGCAGGCAGGCTACAATCGCGATATTCGCCTCCTGCGTCTTATTGTGCGCTGCGGAGGAAACGGTGTGGCGCAAGAAAATATCCGCCCGAGCCCGAAGAAACATCCGAAGCTAACGATACACGTTGGCGCGGCGAGAGGATAGAAACTAATGGTACCTTTCTCGCCGCGCTCCGTTGAGAAGAAAACGCGTTTCCCTCTGCGGAGGTCGCGCTGAGATAACGGGATTTTCGTTAGCGCCTCGCCGAAACTTGGACCGGTGACGACGTTCGCGCGCGCGCGCGCGCGCGGCTTCCCGACGCGGATTTCTCGCGAGGTGGCAAGGAAAGTAAGCAAGCAAGCCGGGAGAAACCGATAACGGTCCGTCGAGCGTGGCGACAATGACCGGAAGAGCCTCCGGCTGTTCCGCGACGGAACGGACGTGGCCGGAGGTGGTCCCGTATTGCGCATATGGGAGCCGTTAACCGTCTCTCCTCCCATTCGCGATGCGAAAACAGTCGGGCAACACGCGTGACTGGAAAATACAGTGACCCAGTGTGCGGCACGTGGGAAGCACCCGGCAACGTGCGTGCAACTCACAATGCACTCTGAAACGCGTATGCTCTCGTCGCGAAACACGGAGGCGGGTTGGACGAAGGCTCGCGAAAGAGACGCGCGGAAGTGAATGAATGAATGAACGAGGAACGACGACGACGACGACGAGGAGGAGGAGGAGGAGGAAGAGGAGGAGACCTCGGGGCTTGCCCTGGATGATACTGTTTTGCCGGGAAAATTCGTCTTCATTGGCTCGAGTCGCACTTGCTGAATTTCTTCGAGTGTAATTCCGCTCGAGAAGCGAAGTGACACAGCCAAGTCACTCGAATTCCCGTGACTTTCCCCTCATACAAAATGAATTTCCCGCTCTGAATCGTCGAGCGAATATTTTTGCGCGAAATTTACACTCTAGAACTACCAAAGCAGCCGACATGACGTGTTCGTTATTTCTCATGGGAATCACTCAAGCTTATAACGGCATATTTTATATTTTTGATTGACGTCAAATACAACTAGGAAGGGAAAATTAATATTTTTTTCCTTTGCGTTTTTTCTTTCAAAACTCTGTAATTTTAATCGCTCTAGAAATAGGTAGTTCTAGTGTAATATCTCTAACCCTTTTTTCTTTTTTAAATTTAATTTTTTTCCATTATTTTTTTCGTAAATATTTTTTTCAAAAATCTAATTTTAACTGCTTTGATAGAAGCAGATTATTAAGTTTTAGTACACGAAAAAAATATTGCAGTAAAGATCACAACAAAATTTTTTGTAATCTGGAAGCGTACACAGAGAGAAATTATGATCACAATTACTATATATTTATTTGAAAATGTTATAATAATTGTGCGTCCTTCTAACAGACGACTAATCGACTTTTGTCACGAGTGTCAAGGAGAAATGGATATATCAGCGAGCCTCGGCGGAAGTTGTGACTCGACCCGATAAATCAACATGCCTGTTAGTCATTGGTATTACCAGATCGAGGATATTCAAAATAGAACAGAAAAACACGATGAGTTAAAATGATGAGAAGATGATTGAATCGCGATTGAAAAATGAATTCTTTGTCATTTCCTCGTCACTTTGACACCATCCTGACTTTTTTCTTGTGTTTGGGTATTTCCACGGTAACGCGGCGTATCGACCCTTACGACGACGACATACTCACCTTACTCGGTATGAGAAGACGGAGTTCATCGTCACCCTGTCGATAACGCTTGTGGGGACTCGTCGGACCCCCGGAACCTGTCATAGCGCCGGTCTCGGCTTCTCTCTTCATTATTCCTGAAACAGAAACGAAGAATTTCTTCCGTCAGACAGAGATAGAAAAACATCTTTTCCATCGTGTCGTCGTGTCACATTGTAATTCGTTCCGCGACCGCGAACAATGAAGCGGTTTACGCCAGTCGTAATCGGGTCGCGGCTTTTATCATAATTCCGACCAATGTTATGCCCGGAGCGTCGAAGCAGGCCACGTTCGCCGAGATTATGGGATCGTAAAACCGCGATATAAATTAACATGCGCCATCGATTTCGTCGATGGTCGCGTGGCAGCCGCGTGGTCTTCTCTCTCCATCTCTCTCTTCTTTCTCTCTCTCCCGCCCGACCGACGAAAACGCCGGATAAATGCAATAAAACGCGACGAAATATAGATGGTCGCCCCGTAAAATGCTTTTCCCATAGCGCCGACGTCATTAAAGCGAACGAGGCGATTTAACGGACAATGAATTACTATGCCGAGTGCGCACGGTCTATCCGGTCCCATAACGCGTGCTAATGTATACGGATTTATGCGTCTACGGGGTGTCCTGTTAGGACAGGTCGATACGTCGCAAGACGGTCCCCGCAAGGCGGTCAACTCGAGTGGAAAATTATATCAACCGCGAGAAGGCGGGGCCGTTAACACTCTGTTAAATTTCGCAGCGTTCTCGCACGCACAGGCGAAAGGACAGCGTGTTTCCGCCGTTCTAACATGCGCGCTAAAAGAAGGATCTTGCCGTCGGAAGATGTAGAATTTAATAAAGAAGGAAGGAAAGAAGGAAGGATGCTTTGCTCGAACATAATTTGCAGTAAGAGACAAAGAATGGGCCTTTAAGAGCCAAGCACGGATCTTATGGTGCTATAACACAATTATATTTACAAAGAAAAACTTCAAGTTAGATCTAATAACTTGCAAAAATTTTAAGTCTGATCTAACATAAAGTAGTCCAGACATTTCGATTCTCAACTTCTTCAAAGAGAGCATATAAGAAGAATATAATTGTATAATAAAATCCAAAGGCTCTGAGGAATAAATTGTATCATTAAAATTAAACCTACTTTGCTAACTTAGCTTCTACTGTGTTGTACAATTCAACGTTCAACATAAGGCGAAAATTTCGACTCGAGATGGCAAGATTCGTGTTTGGCTTTTAAATTTTTTAGTTTTCGTTCATCAGAGCCTTCTTCAGATTTTTCATACAATTCATAGTAATTATTTCTCCGTGTGATTACGAAATACCAAGCATTCCTTTCTCAGTGCAATTAAACGTGTTTCCGCGAGCAACTGCCGCGTTTAATTGTCAATGTATATGAGGCGGTGCGCGCCGAAGGAAAATCTCTCTCTCGAGTGATAAAAACTCGGCGGGATTAGAATTTAATTATTTCTACTGCGGGGAGTGCGAGCCAACGTCGCCGCGGGACGCTCTAAAAATAAAAGCAACGATTAATTCTCCGCGAGCCGCGATAATTCTTTCCGTACGTACGTCGGAGGCCTTCGCGGAGCGCGCGCACCAGCTAAGATACATTGCTCAATTAGAGATTTAGCACGGCCCTTCCGAGCGGCCGCGAGCGTAAACGCTGGCCGACGTTAACCCCTTAATTCCTTTCTCGACACGCGAAAGATTAAATTCTTAATACGGCCGTTCTTGCTTATTAAAGCCACGTCAAACGTCGGCGCGGACGGGCGCATCGAGAATAAATCAACGAGTCGCTGCATTTCAGCCGCGCGAGTCATTAAGCTTTAATACTGAATACTCTGTATTCCGACTGTTCAAATAAACTCTTGATTATCACGAGAGAATCGATAATTTCCGACATCGGAGTCAAAGTAGGAATAAATTGTATCATTGGAATTAAACCTACTTTGCTAACTTTGCTAACTTTGCTCCTACTGCGTTGTAGAATTCAAGGAACATTTAACATGGAGCCAAAATTTCGAGTTGGGCGGATAGCACCGTTGGCAGTAATGTTTGGGACAAATTTGGATAATGTCTTTTATATTTCTTGTGTTTCTATTTTGTCATTTTATGTGATAAATAGGAGTACTGTAATGAAGCATTCGTGAGGAATGTAACTTCTGCAACAAACCGCGACTAGTAAAGTTTAACGGTCAACTGGTAAAGAGTTCGACCAGTGCCAAATTCACGTGCACCTGTCTGCCTGGGTAAATTGTGCAGTTCAAATTGCTACTTTAGATAGACGATCCGACTCGATTTTCCCTCATTCCGACCGGATCGCAGTTCGCGCGACGAAATTTGTCTAACTCCGAGACTTGGATCTTCCTATCTGATTTTACTGCAGAGTCTATATCGCGTGTCTTGGATTGAAAATTTCATTGTCGCCGCCCGAAAGGTCGGGATGTAATGGAACAAGTGATCGATCCGCGAGTTCCCTCGAGAGAGCGCGGTTGACGCGCATTTATAGCGTGCAGGAATTAAATTTCGGCAAGATCGATAGAGATTACGTATTTATATTGACGCGCGCACGCGCGCGATTATTGTCGTTTAACTGTTCGCCCAATCGGAATGTTTGGCGGGGAATACGAAGCGATTGAGAATTGCGAATAATTAATTATATATAATCAATCTGCGTGTTTAATTGAAGAAGCGAAGCTATAACCGCACAATCGCTGACCGGTAATCGCGCGACAGCGTATTTCGCATGAAATAAGTTTTAAGTGCCAACTATTAATACGGGCCTAAATTCAAATCTTAAGATCTTACCTCGGATAAGTAACGATTCAAGTAACGACTCTATTAAATAATACAACTGATACAACTGATATTACTTGAAAATCTCAAGTCAAACTCGGGTTTGAATTTAACGTTAAATGAGAATTTTTCAGGTAAATCATGACATAAATGTCACATATATCATGATTAAATTAAAAAACTTTGATTTAACTCCGGATGAAAAACTGAATATTTTACGCGAGACAAGTTTCAGGCGACAACTATTAATACAGGCCTAAATTAAAATCTGAACGTTTCACCTCAGGTAAATTTTAATTAACGACTCTATTAACACGCACAACGTATTTATATTGACGCGATTACCCGCCCGCCGATAGTGGAATCGGCGGAGAATACAGGGCGATTGAGAATTGCGAATAATGAATTATATAATCAATCTGATCGAAGAACGGCGGAGCTGTAACCGCACAATGGTGCTCGGCTGGCCGGTAATCGCGTCCTCGCAATACCATAAGCTTCGTTAACCAACACTCACGTACACAATCCGCGTCGCCTAAGCGACGGAATTCCGAATAGATGAGACGATAGACGGCAAGGCGGGCTTCGCACGGCGAAATTCGGTTGTCGCACGGAATCGCGCGAGAGGACCGCGGGGAAGCCATCGCGCGCCGCATCCCGGGGAAAACGAGACGAAAGCGTAACGCGATGGCCGCCGACGATCATTTGTCGGCTATATCGCGATAGCGCGCGTTTAGCATAGAAATCGCGGCTACACGCGCTGCATACGGAACCACAGCCGGCGATGGGAACATCGTAATATAAGGTTACAGGCGGTTACAGGGGAATGCAAAAAGCTGCGCGACCGTATTTCAAACGTGTGTACGTGTAAGAACGCGACACGTTCCTACTCGATATCATCATCGTGCACTCGGCACTCGGTCTTGTTATTGTGTCCGCCTGACGTTATCCACAATTGAAGGCATATATATTTGCCTCGCGCGTCTCAGAAAGAGAAAATAGCCGATTCCGCGTAAAATTTTGATTCTACTTTCATGCTCACTACTACATTCAGCACCTATTTTGACACCCTAAAATTTACATCAACCTCTCTTGGATTCATTCGAGATCTGTTCCGATCTGACACTTCAAAACCGCATTATTCCGCGGATATCTCGCAAGATACACGAACAGTTGAAGCGTCGGATCCGAATCCCTACAACTATTTCGATTTATTAATTGTCAAATGTTCGAGAGGGATCTCGGATCCTACGAACGTGTTTGACTGACTCCGCCGAGAACTTAGACCCGAATCCGGATTCGATGCTTCGACGATGTTCGTATATCTCATGAGATAACCTGAATTTCAAGTGTCACATTTATCTTGCTATCCAAATAATCGGGTCGACCCGGACAGTGTCAAATCCGACTCAATATTGAACTCCTAGTAAATATATTAGATTCTCTCCGAGTGAGGACAAACAGGACTATTTAACGAAAATGTCGGGACGTCGTTTTTCCTTAGATTCGCGCGCGCGCACGCTTACGTGGCGTAACAAGGCGGTTCTCCGAGCCGTGACGTGGCGGTAAAGCGCACTCTTTGTACTCACGACGAGGTATGCAAGCCGCATATGCAAACGAAACGGACTGAACTGGGTCGTAGCCGTCGTACCCAAGACCGAAGCCGATTACACTCCACGCGATCATATGACGACAGAGTCGAGCTAAATTGCTTTTAATCGTCCTAGCGGGACGGACGATCGCGATATGAATAAAGCGAGCGTATCTCGATGCGGCACGATCGATCGGGTGTCTCATCGCGAATTTACTTTGTTCAATAATTCGCGAGAGCCGATTGCACCGGAGCGTCCGGCAAATACTCGCCGGAGCATCTCGAGTACTCCGTGAAAAATGAAAGATCCGTCGAGCTCAGTCGCGGGAGAACATCTATGTCAACCGCACGTTTCAACCTTCCGCCGTTGACAAAATTTTGTGGCTCGAGTTCCCGCTATTGTTGATCTTTCATCGTGATTTCTCCATTCGACTCCATTGAACTTCAAGTGCGAGAAAAACCTGAATTCTACTAACGCAGTAAAAGCTAAGTTAAAAACTAGGTTTAATTCTAATGATACTCCTACTATGACTGGTGATTTGACCGGAATTTCCCTCTTCATTTGTTTTAGCGTCAAAATAAATGTTGAATGGAACAGTGAGATTAATAGTGAGGATCAAAATTTGGGTTGGTTCTCTTTACCCGACTCTATTTTTCGACATACAAGGTAACTATGAAATTTTCCGCGCGCATGTTCGTTCGCGAAAATAACGAGAGGACAC